CATGAGCATTTTGGCTTAACTTGCTGATGTGTAAATCTCTTCTATAACAGAGCAACTAATACACAGTGAAACTACATGTAGAATTTATAAACACTCCGCTGATCACAGAGAAAGGGAAGACCTGTGATCCCCTCTCTCTCTATGATTTCTGAGTGTGTTTTTACAACGCTGAAACGGGAATAGTGAAGTTCTTGGCTTGCTCTCTCTGGCTAGGGTTCAATCCATAACAGATTAAAGAAAAAGAATAGTGGAACAGGAGAGAAATTCTTTGTTTCTCTGGACTCAATTGAATAATCAAACCTTGCCAGATTCCCATGCATAACGCCATGTTGTCCTTCTGTTGTATCTAATTTGACAGACTTCAACCCCTTTGTTTTCCGTGTCAGCAGCCCTCCTTGGTTTGACTTACATTTAATTTTTTGCTAAAAAATTCAGCCATTTGATTCTAAGCTCAGACTTGTTCATGATAAAGTATGGGGAAAAAGTTCGTATACAACTGTTCTCAAGGAATGATGCCTTTCAGTGGCAATACAGCTAAAGGTGGAATCCAGTCGCCATAAAACACAAGCACCTAGAGTCATTTTAGATACTCTGTGCTATCCTGCCTATCACTGTCGTCATCTCAAGTCTGTAGCTCCTCTTCCAGGATCAGAGTTCCCTCAGATATCTCATGGGCCATGAATCCCATAGCAATTTAGCGGCTACTTTCTTTTGTGTGACTTTTGGCTACCTGGACCCACTTTACCCCAGAAGAACCACCCCAGACTGGAACTCCTGGCTGTAACAGAATACCTGTTGCTTTACAGTTTCTCCTAAAAACATCTGTACAGTACCTTGCTATATGTGCAGCATACTGTCAGCAAAAGCTCAATCATGCCCTCCAGCTCTTGGACACACGCAGGGCTCCTGCCTAGGGTGTATTTCTCTATCATGACTAAGAAGTGATAACACATCCTCATATTTCAAGGATGTGCAATCATACAGACTCTTCAGTTATTGTTCACTGCAAGTGTAGATACTGATTGACAACTGTAGAGATGACTGTAAATATTTTATGCCTTGAATATTTTGTCAGACACATTTACAAGTAAAAGTGGGAAATGTAATTCTAAGAAAAGGAACTTCTAAGATGTTCATTTAAGCATTTCCAACAATTTATAGTTTAATTTACAGTCGTGGTTTAACCCCAGCTGGCAACTAAGCACCACACAGCCGCTCGCTTACACCCTCCGGGTGGGATGGGGGAGAGAATCAGAAGAGTAAAAATAAGGAAACTTGCGCGTTGAGATAAAGACAGTTTGATAGGTAAAGCAAAAGCTGCACACGCAAGCAAAGCAAATCAAGGAATTCATTCACTCCTTCCCATCGGCAGGCAGGTGTTCAGCCATCTCCAGGAAAGCAGGGCTCCATCATGCGTAACGGTTACTTGGGAAGACAAATGCCATCACTCCGAGTGTCCCTTCCTTCCTCCTTCTTCCCCCAGCTTTATATGCTGAGCGTGATGTCATATGGTATGGAATATCCCTTTGGTCAGTTGGGGTCAGCTGTCCCAGCCGTGTCCCCTCCCAGTTTCTTGTGCACCCCCAGCCTACTCGCTGGTGGGGTGGGGTGAGAAGCAGAAAAGGCCTTGACTCTGTGTAAGCACTGCTCAGCAGTAACGAAAACATCCCTGTGTTATCAACACTGTTTTCAGCACAATTTAGGGTTTAATTTACAGTCTTTCATAGGAGTTTTGGCAATTTTTACAAGCACGTAGTGTGCACAAAGATGAGGAAACAAAGTGCGAGAATATGTTAAAACATATCATATGCAAGTTTTCTAACTTCCAGATTTAGTGTGATATACCATTCCCAATGATCTCTGTTGTAGGAATGGATGCAATATAATTTTCTACATTGATCTATAATCAATATCTGTGCTTGAGTTCACATACTGCAGGCTTTCAAACTGTGAATGATCTTCAAGGCAATCATACTGAGTTCCTAATTCTTCTTGCTATACACAGTTAAAGGTAAAAAGAGTTTGTGAGCCTTATAGTATAACGTGATCTTGTGAAGTACCACAGGGATTAATTTCACCAGAAAATTTTTTTGGAATATGCAAACTCATGGGACTTTTCTTTTCTTTAAAAGTGTCTAATTTTCTGCAAGTTTCCTTCTATTAATGAGAGGCTCACACAGTTCTAGTAGCAAAGCAATACTATTGGCAAGAACATGAAAAAAGCTAAGGCTCACAGTAAGGCACACTATACAAATTAAAATCTAAACTCTAGACTTGCACAGTAAAATAAGTGTTTTATCTCTGATATTGCTTTGACTGGCGTATTTACTTCAACTCAAATAAGGCTATTGAAAATATGAATTCAATTGTTCATCTTAACTGCTCTTATTTTTATTTGGAAATGTAAAACATAATAAAAATGGCGGATTGCCTTGTAATAAAACTTCTGGCCTCCACAGATGTTTCTTTCCCAACATTAGGATCTCCCTTAGGGACAGCTGACCAGAAAAAATGTTATTGGTGCACATACCCTTCCATGATTGGGGTTTTTCATTATTCCTGTATTGAGGGACACTTAAGACTTCTCACTAAAAGATAATCTATGAAAAATGAAGTGTCCTTAAAGTCAGAAAAGCTCAATAATTTTGTAGTGTTCAATACATATATAACAATGTGATTTAAAACTACCAGTCATTTGGAGAAAATACCAATATAGAAAGGAAATCTCAACTTTTTGCAAAACAGAATTCTCTTTTCCTAACCAGTCATTCTGAAAACATCCTTCATTCCATTACAACAATACCTGAAGTCTTTGGAAACGTAAGCAGAGTGGCATCGTGTAGCATCGCTGGAGTGACTCTCTAGTGAGCCACTTCTCTGATCTCAGTTATTCATTAGATGTTATTAGGAAAGCCCTCCCCATAAGATCCTCACCAGGAAGCGAGTGGATGCCCTATGGAACATTAATGTGACAACGAAGCAGAACAGCTATTTGGGGCACAGGTCAACCTTCGCCTGTGCTCAGTGGAGCAAGAGCTGTATTCTGGTAACAGTCTGGTCAACGGATGAAACAGCAAAAAGGTATGGTTCAAATATGGGAGGTGACAGAGACAAAGAGGACAGTCATTCAGAAGTTTCAGGAACACTACATGTACATTTTCTTCCAGAGACATCAGCTGATAGGTAAGATATGTCTCAAATACTGACTCCAACTGAGGTAGATATTAAAAAAACTGGATCAGTGAACTGCTGTCAGCTAGACACAAAAACCAGATTTGATCTAGTTGGCCTGTATTAAGGAAGGCTTAGCACAGCTTGGCATATGTGTGTTACACGTGACTGTAAAATTGCAAGATAAATGACTAAATGACCTGATGTTGTGACATTTACTGTCCTGATCACGATTATGACTAAAGGATATCTGTAAGGTATCTGCTAACTAGTTGTTAGCACTAATTATGAAACTGCACATCTAATAAAGGGGGCCTCAGCACAGTGTAAGTAATAACAGCACAGAAGCAGTACAGTAACTAATGAACATAAATGCATTACAGGGCATTATGTTAGGAAGACTCTTAACCTACCAAAAGTAGGAATCCTAAATTAAAGTACAAGAGCAAGGAGTAAAAGTTACAATATGTATAAAGTATACTAAGTAGAAGTGGGTGAAGCAGAACATAAGAAAACATGTGCAACGGGCTGCATTTGAAAAGGAATGCCCCACGCTGGTAGCTACATATTATCGCCTGTTTGTGTCTTCCCCCAATATCATCTAAACAAGGCGGATACTAGCAGCTAATATGGCATTTCTTTCCTTTGTCAGACGCACATTATGTTGTTTCAACTTTGTATGACTTTACAGAAAAGGAAATTAATTCTTAACATCAAGGGGACAGTCTCACTTGTGCTCTAACAACAGCTTATCTGAACCTAATCTGGAAAAAAACCCATTGTGAACTCTCAGCAACACATCAACAACAAAGTACACTTCACAATGAGGACCACATAAGGATGGGAGAAATGGCCGGGTGGTGCTACATTTCAGACATTAGCTAGAGATTCTGTGAATATTCTTTGCATGTGATGTATTTTCTAGTAAAATTATTGTATCCAATAAGCCCGTTATGATCTCTTCATCCTCACCTTCTTTAACTGAAGTGTAAATGGCAAATGATATTTAAGCCATTTACCAACTTAATACATACAAAACCCTCTTAACTATGAAGTAAATGAAGTTAAAGCCTGAGAATTTTCTGTCTGAAGGAAGAGACGGCACTCCAGCTATGGAGGTTACAGGACAGTTTCAAAGCAATCTTTTTTCTCACAGACACAAAAATAAATACACTGACTAATGGCAAATGCCAGACAACACTGTGCATAACGTTGAATCTTCCTCTCCCAGCAAAAGGAAATCAGCTACTATTAAATATTTAGCTGGTCAAACCTGGAGCGCCGCTGCAGAATAGTTAAGTTTATACCCCATTCCAAAACGACGGAGCATTTCAATTCCTTTAAGTAATGATTAAGTTACGATGTGCTCCAGTTGCCGTCACATGAAGAGAGAATAGCTCTTTCCTATCATATGTCAAAGTCCTATAGGTCACTGTCCAAGCCCCATCTAAGATTCCCAACAGATAACTTTGTCTTTATGTTTCTCAGCTTATACTGAAAACTGAGTGAGTTATGATTATTGGAATAACATTTAAAATTGATGTCTCAGTACCACAAGACAGAGTTCATGAAGTATACAGGTTCCCCGCAAAGGAGACCATCTTGTTTACTTGGGCTAGACACAACCTTGGTTGAAATATTTAATCCGACAATTCTAAACTTTGTACAACAGCTGAAATATGTGTAATTAACTCAAAAACCCTTGAAGTAAAATTTAACTTCAATAACATGGGACTAGTTCACTGACACTGCTATTGCATAATGTGAGCATTTGGTTCTTTTGGCGGGTACTAGCCAGTAAGCAACAGGAATCGGGTCTTTGATAGGAGATGGCTACCTTCTTCTCTGACCTGGTGAGTATCTGGTCACTTTTTCTCAGGGCTCTGGCTTATAAATGACAAAGCTAACATAATACTAAAGATCCAGATTCCTTAAAGATTGTAAGCTATTTTGGGACCATCTTTCTCTTCTGCATTTAAACATCACCAAGAACAATGAGGCTTGGGGCCATGAAAATCATGTTGCATGGTCTTTTCCATTCAACAAGATAAAATAAAATAAAATAAAATAAAGACAAGATAAAATAAAATAAAAACTAACAAAAGTCCTGGCAGTTCCACCACTGACAATGCTACTGTATTTTTGTCTTCTGAATAACTAAAAACAATACTAATTATTAAGCACTCTAATTACTTCCCAAAGTAATGAATAGATTAACTGTACTGCAAAAGGCTAAGAAATTAATGACATAAGCTTTAAAATAAATTACTTTCCTCATTTCATTCAAAGATAATTAATATTATCCTTCAAGAGTTTCCATAGTCTTAAACAGGGAAGAATTTATAAGTATTTCTTGTTCCATTTCTCAACTGCCAGCAAGAAGCTATTTTGCTTTCCTTTTTAAGTATTAAAATTGTTAATTTGTAAGTCTATTGCAAAAAAAAGGAAGAGTGAGAAGGTGAGTTCTTAATTTGTTTGAATGCTTTTGCCAATTAGCAAATCCATTGAATTTGAGACAGGATTTTTAAGGAAATTTAGAGTCTTCTGGTCGATAGCTTCTTGGTTCTTGACATGTGATAACTTGGCAAATCCAGCTGGGGACTAATTAAGTAACAAGCTCTTGAAAGATGGACCTAAGAACTATAAAAGGGAGCGTTCTTCTAAGTATATCCCAGTCCAGCGTTATTCACACTTGCATTGCTTTGTTCCTGCCTGATTGCATTTTCTACCAGCTTCTCTTCATTCAGGCACTGATCTCCAAAAAGCTGTGAGCTCATGAAGTTCATATCTGACATAAAAAGAACACAGAGCACAGTGTCCTCTATACAGAGATGGTGTTACTGTCTTGGTTTGTGATGTGCTGAATAAAAAGGGAGAGGCAGTAAAACCCCAAAGGACCCTGAACAGATCCTGATGGGCTTAAAATCACCATTGTCCTAGGTTTGGTCTGCTAGGTACAGTCAAAGCTGTTTGAGGATAGCTCCATCTAGCCTTGCAGGCACTTGGAAACAGGATGGATGACCAGTGGTATCACATACCTCAAAAAGGCCTGAGTAGTTACATGTTCTGTTTTTCCTTATTTACAGTTAAAATTATTTCATTCATCAAAGCAGCCAGCGTATCTCAGTCCCTAATCCTTGACCAAGGAAATTATAGACAGACAGTATCTCCCTAACCTGGAAGATGCAAGCACATACTTTCATGGTTAAATAAGTAGGAAAAATAAAATATTGAGAAAGGAGAAATGATACCCCAAATCAAAGTCAGGAAGATTTTTGTTTTAATGCAATTACAGGGGCTATTACAAATTATTATCTTTGTAGTCCATGACTTTCTGAAAAAGTTGAATGTTAAAAGGATCTTTTCTTTATTATGCTTAAAGATACGACACAGTCAGAAATGAAAGCAGGGAGTACATTAAAATGCTGTTGATTTTTAATGCTGTACTTTTGTGGCATAACATTATGGTTTGATGTACATAGGTTACTGCAGATTGCAGACATGGAAACTGATTTCCTCTTCCCCACATCCAGGACTGACACCTTCATCCAGCCAACCTGTCAGATATTGCAGGCATACAGTGAGAACTGTACTATCCGGAACATCTTTTAAAACTCCTTCTCCTTCTTGCAGGCAAAGAGGTGGATTATCATTCTTACACTAGCATTTAGTCTTGCTATGGCGCTGTGGCTGATGATTGTACTTGGGCAGCAGGTTAGAGGGATTTTGGAAAAATGTTTAAATCCAAGAGGATTTGAAGTGGACAATGCAGGTTTCCAGAGAGGAAGGACAAGTGTGGCTACAAAGACTCTGGCCCTGCACAAAGCTAGATTAATGAGAAGCTGATGGAGCATTTTATTTTTGCTTTGCAGGTTCAGTTCCGGGGACTATTTCAAATGATCTTAGTTCTGGGAATTGGTGGTAGTTTCCCATATGGATTCCACATTTCAGTCATCAACTATCCTTCTGTAGTAAGTAGCCATCTCCCTGAGGTTGAAAACACAAAATGTAGAGCCTGAGCTCGCCATTCCCCAAAAAATTTCAAATTTACTGAGCATTCAGCTGATACATCTATGTCTTTTCTTTGGCTAAGAGTAACATCAAATGTTTAGAGCACTTTTTCTCCTTTAAAGAACAGGATGGTATTTTCTGTTTTAAATAAATTGTTACCACATAGAATACAAGCCTCCAAAGGAAGGCAGAAAATGTGCTTTTAGCATGCTTCCTCAGGAAGCTTACTGACTGATACAAACTTGGAGATTTTGCAATGTGATCTCAGCTAACTTGTTTTGTTATGAAAATTAGTCTCAAAAGAAGTCTAATATTAGAATCACAAGCTAGATCTGAAGTACAACAGCCAAATAATACAAAGGGATCTTATATGCATTGTCCAGTCAAATCTCATTTTATTTTTCAGCACATCAGGAAGTTTATTAATGAAACCTGGATAGAGCGACATGGCTCTCCCCTCCATCCTGAGACAATCATGCTGTTATGGTCCTTCATTGTGTCTGTTTATGGGATAGGAGGATTCCTGGGGAGCCTCTGCTGTGGCTACCTGACTACAAAATATAGGAAGTAAGTGTTTCCTGTAACAGCTCGATAGTCAGAAAGTACAGGGAAATACCAAGGTGAACAAATAAACCTCTTCTTGGTTGAAGCAGTCCGACTGAAGACTAAACTGATTTTGTTTGCTAGCCCATCCACCTCTTTCAAGTAGCAAGCAGTCTTTTATCTTGTTTATCTGCTCTCCCCAGTGAACTATATGTCTGTAAAGGATGCATTCATCATCACATCACCAGATCAGTGCCTCTGGGAGCAGCAGGATAATGTACCTGCCTCGTGTTCTCTTCAAGATCTCCTATGACTCTCATAAAGATCTCCCAAGCTCTACAAACCCCCCAAAAGGAGCTGTGTATCTTGTGTTGTAACACATTATATGCAGTTACTCTAACCACCTGAAAACCACTGTGTGGAAGATATCCTTAAGTGTCAAAGAAGAGCCAGATTTCCATTTAAATACACTCATTCTGGGGTGATGACCTTATATTAAATATTCAGATCTGATCTAATGAAAATGTGAACAGAATAGAAAAAAATAAATTGCCTGTAACTACACTGTAAAGATACAATCAGCGCCAAACAAATTATCCAAGAGACATCTCTGTTCTTGGCAATCCATTTTACTGAAAGTCAGTTCCAAACTATCTTTCCTACTGGATGGAGAAAGGATTCCTCACCCGTCTGGTCTGTTCTCAGTGCCTTGTGTGTAACACCACTAATTTCATTTGCAGAGAAATTGGCAAACTTATCTACTTGGTGTGACCCACTTAAAGATCTGCTCCACAACCCACTGAACCAGAGGCCCCTCATATGGGTCTCAACAAACCATCTTAGCCTGCCTGCAATTGTGTTCTTTCCTATCAGGTAAGTGCCCCCAAGAAATTTCTTGTGGGACACTGCCTCATCCCACACTCAGAGGGTCTCCCAAGACTGGAAACAAGATCACACACCTCTCCCATGGGTTATTTAACACATGATAACCTAATTGCTGAATCACAGCCTTCTAAATAGAGGATCTCTGTGAATCCTTAATGTGCGTGAGAGGACTCTTGTCTAGCAAGCATCACGGCAAAACAACTGAATGCGAAAGACTTGGATTTGATCCTGAGACATCAGGGTTGTGAACATACCAGCCCACGATTCACACGGAGTGTCTTTTGAAATACGCCTCTAAAAACTCTTTATGCCATCTCAGTTCACATCCATTTAGCCAAGAGTGTCTTTAATATGAGTCATCCTAGAGTGGGAGCCATGGACTCAGATTATTTCTGGGGAGCAACCTGACATTTTATGAGGAGTTCTAGCCATTTAAAAATCTTGGGCCAGTTCTTTGAGGTCTTTCCCCGCTTGTATTGTGGAAATGCTGATGAAGTATTTCAGCTGTTTAAATTCTAAGCTAAGAAATATTAGTGAATTCAAATCTAAAGGATCCCAAAATTTCAAAGAATAACTTTGACTATCCAAAGTCAAAATTATTTCAGCCATTCCTCAAAACA